AAAAAAATTATTTTCTGATAACCTTTATACGTATAGCAAAAACCAGGGATGTAAATGACAAATTCGAAGGAGGTGCCGTTCTCAGACATACGGACAATATGAAATACATATATTCAAACCAAATAACCAAGGGAAAAGAGTGTATTATTATCAGTGTACTTGCTTAACTTCGATTGTTTATGTTTATACATCGAAAAAATGTCACTTAGAAATTTGTTTAATCTAAATAGGTTGTTTTCTCAAAACAGAGGACCAAAATTATTAATTAAACCACAATGGAACAGAATGTTTTGAATATGATTATTATTATTCTTATTTGAATAAAGACGTATGTATTCCCAAAGTTTCTAGAAAATGAGGTTCTTAATTTAATCAATAAAAAATTGGTCGAAGGCTATAAGTATAATCCGACAAATTCAGCTCTTTAAAAAAATTATAAAATTTGATTTTATGATTTTCATTTTGTGATAACCGCTGCAAAGTAAAAACCATCGGCATAAATAATACCCCGGTACCCCCTGCATCCTACGAACAATCTAAAATATATTTAAAACACATAACTAACAGGATAAAATGTCCTTCAGCACTAGGTAATAGCAATCTGAGCTCAAGTGTTTATTTATGTTTATACGTCGAAGAAAACGATAAATGAATGGCAAAAATATTCTTTATAAAATAGTTTGTACAATCGCGACGCATTTTATAGTATCGATAGTATCGTACAGATGTTTTGCGAAAATTTGAACGTTTAGCGAAAAACCCGATAGCGGATTCGTACACTACAAGTATAGGAGTATATTTTTGTATAACATTCAAAGCATTTTAAAATACGGTTCATTGAAATGACGCCATCAAATTGTTGGTCGGTTAGCATTGACATGTTGTGTTAACATGTCTACATGAAATTTCTAATATACGTACAAAATTTGACAACAATCGGTCCAGCAGTTTCGGAGATTACGTGTCTAATCAAAATCGATATAGATATAGACACCAGATAGACAGACGGAAACGGGAGACTAATTTTTTCGTATTGTAGGAATCATGAAACGTCGAGAAAACATAAAAGTGACAATTCGTTCTATGGACTCGATTACTATACTTCCTTAGCTTACGGTCGGGAAGTAAAAAAGGCTCTATATAACTAACGTGTGAAGAAATGAAAAAGTGTACCTATAATCTGTCAAATTTAGTAAATAAGCTAAGCATCCGAAGCAAATAAGTGACGTGAATTCAAAGACTGTGTAATGGAGAAAGTTTGAAAATTTCCAAAAATGTACAAGGATTACATAAAGTTTGCAGAGCGAGCTAATTATGTATATACCGGGCATTTTTTTTTAAACTGAACATATGCCTATGTTCAGTTTTAAAACGACGCACTCAATTGCAACTGTAATGCAACCAACATTACAACAACTCCATCGTTTAAAAAAGTAGAATCAAATAGAATGCTTTGAAATGTTTTCTAAAATGTCAAAACTGCTTACACAAAATGTATTCAACACAAGAAAAAATTCAAATACTGCAATGGTACCAAGCTGGTAGTAGCATGCGCAATGTAAGGGATTTATTTTCCGTACAGCACCCTACTAGGCCAATTCCGTCTCTGGCAACAATTTGGAACATAATTAAAAATTTTAATGCAAGAGGATGTGTCGTCAATAGCCATCATCAAAGAAATAGGAGATGTCACATTTTAACCGAAGAGATGAAATTAAACGTATTATGCTACGCTGAAGAGGAACCAATATCCACCATAACGCAAATGAGTAACTACTTCGGTATTTCCAGATTCTCAATTCGAAAAGTTTTGAAGGAATGTCGATTTAAACCATATAAATTTAGGAATCATCAATACCTCACTGAAGAGGATAAAATTAGGGGGACGGATTTTTGTGAATTGATGTTTAACTCACTGAACATTAATGAACAACTTTTAGAAAACATTATGTTTACAGACGAGGCATCATTTAGTAGGAATGGCGAAGTTAATTCACAAAATTATCAGTCAGATTTTCTACAATTTTATTATTCAATGCTATTTATGCCAAAATGTTCTTATTACAGATACTGGGCCCGCACAAATCCTCATGTGCAAAATTTAATTCGCCATCAAGTACAAGAAAGACTAAATGTGTGGGCTGGCTTAATAAACAATAGGCTCATTGGACCATTTTTTATTGATGGCAATTTAAATGCAAATAAATTTCTTAGACTTTTAAGGGACCATATTATTCCTGAAATTGAACCACTAAATATTGAGAATATTTGGTTCCAGATGGACGGTGCACCAGCACATTCGTGTAGAATAGTTACGAATTATTTAAATGATGTATTTGGTGAACGTTGGATAGGCAGATTTGGTCCTGTAGCTTGGCCTGCACGATCACCAGATCTTTCGCCAAATGATTTTTTTCTCTGGGGACACCTACATAATACAATTTATGATCACGTAGAAATTCAAACAATTCAGGAGTTACAGGAACGAATAGTCAGAGCTTGCCAAGAGTTGAATCCAAATTTCGTACGAAATGCAGTGCAAGGATTCCATCACAGACTTGGTTATTGCTTGGAACGGGGAGGCGGTCATTTCGAATATTTGTTATAAAATTTAGTTTTTGTTTTATAAAATTTTTGGCGTATTTATGGTTTTGTTTATTGTTGAACATGTGCATAACACGCTGTAGTTTCGGTGAAAAAGCTCTGCCACAGTAGAGATAACAATCAGTAGAGACAGCTCGCCGTTTTTCGTGACCCGTTTTCGTGGGTGGTCGTTCGCATTATGACCGAATGAGGGCGCCCAACTGACGTCTAAAATATTTGAAATTTGGCAGTTTTGTTACAATATTTTTGCCGGTTTTGCTTGTTTAAGACTGCTTTTCCGGTAGAATTGTACAAATAGTGTAAAAATATAATTTTCACAATAAAAGGTAAAATCTTTGTCCGATGAATTTTCATACAGGATCCCTGTTGTGCGCCTTATTCTCTCCATCGTGTTTGGAATTCTTGGAAAAGATAGTAAACATAACACACTTTTTGTTTAAAAAGTCGTCGCAAACGGACAACAACGGTGGTTATGAAATAAATAATAAAAATTTATTATATATGATTCCGTTGTTGTGGTAAAATTAAATATAAAAACAATAAGAAACAAACTACACGTAACAAAAAATTATATAAGCAGACCTTCTCTCAATAAACAATTTTTTTATTCATCATGTATATATATATTTTTTGACCTACACAATCTTGAGTTTTATTTTGAAACGTTGCTTAACCCATAAGCAGTCGCGCGTGGATAAAAATGACCCAAGCCGTACATTTTGTCAAATATCCTTTTTCGCTTAATCCCTATGGACTTCCGGTTTCATGAATTCCTTAATTATTCTTACCTGCGTCGACCCATACCAATTACCTGCACTTTATGTGAGCCGACAAATATGCATTTTTTTTGTAACATTTTTTTTAATACAAATTTTACTTTATGTGATATTACGCTTACGGGTTAAGTTGTTAGGTAAAATGGGTTTGACTATATATTTATAAGACGCCTTTGCCAAGACAGACGCACTAGAAAACTGTTTTGGATGGATTAGGAAACAAAATGGAAATTCTATTAACCCCACATCTAATCAATTTCAAATGGCTTTTAGAAAATTAATCATACAAGATTATTTTGATGAAACGAACACAGGTAATCAAAACTGCGAGCCTGATATGGAAGAAATTTTAAAGTTAAATGTAGGTCGTCGTTTTGATGAAGAAGAATCAGTCACCACGATGCAGAAGACCACCTTAAAAGATTGTGATTATCACTTTTACACAGCTGAACAAAACGCAATTAGATATATCTGTGGCTACCTAATTCGGAATGTTTATTAGTACACAGTTGTAGTGAATGTGAAAAGTATGCAAATGAACATAAAAGTTTAGACAACAGAAGCATATATTCACATTTCAGAGCCTACCAAACGAAGAATTGCGAGTTATTTGGTAAATTATATATGCCAAACGATAATTTCTTTTTTTTTACATTTGTGAATTAGAGCAAATTTTTAGTGAAAATTTTGAAAATATAATTTTACAAACAACTACTTTGTTGAAATTTTTAAATTTATATAAGCAAGCTACATTTGTTCATCCATGCCAAAACTTTCCATACGATGATTTGCTTGCTTTGTATGCTAGGATGAGATTATTTTATGCACTAAAATTTGTAAATGCTAGCTTTAAATTTACAAATGCCAAAGGTGAAAAAATTAATAGAAAGAAAATAATTTGGCAGCATTAACTTTTTTCCTTTTTGTAATTTAATTTTTATTTTATTTATTTTTTCTTAAATAAACCTCTTTCTTTTTAGATGAATTTATTACATTATTTTTACAATGATAATTAAACCTCAAGTATTCGGGGAAAGAATGTGCGAATTGTCAAATTGTGTAAGTAATAAAATAAAAACTGTAACAAATCATCGTGTTTATAAATTAAATATCGACTTTTCTTTTTTCTTATTGCGATTCACGATTATACGATTTGAGCAAACTACACAGTTTGCAATAAATTGCGTACACGAATCAATTTTTGAAATTGTAAATGAAGTGATACTTTTTAAATTGGGTGGCGACATCTAGGAATAGTTTAGGCAACGACCACCCATGACGGCTTAAAATTCGGGTCAGAAAGAACAAAGGCGCCGACACGAGCTGTCTCTACTGATTGTTATCTCTACTGTGGCTCTGCTTTACTCAAACGATTTCTCGTGGTTATGCAACCAACAATGTTCCTGCATTGACAGCGTCGTTTTTAAACTGAACATAGGCCTATGTTCAGTTTAAAAAAAAATGCCCGGTATAATATATATAAAATAGGTGGTAAAGTTTTCGACGCATTGCTCAAATTAGAATTTGCAAAGCGGTACATTTCAATTACTCTTTGTTAATAAGTGTTTCATTTAATTATGCTGATAAAAATGTCAAGCATGTGTAAACACACTACGTTACCTGCTTAGGTAAAACTTGTGAATTATCCTTTGTAACATAAGGTACACAATTAGGTTTCATAATTTCTCTGTACAATGCTGCAGGATTTACTTGGCCTTCAGATGTGTTGAATGAGTCGTAGTCTTGATACAATCTCTCCAATTGACGAACTTGTTCTTGTATATCCACTAAATTTTTCTGAGCCGTTTTCAAATTTTCTCTTAATTTGAATAATTTTTCAGTCTTTTCCTTTGCATCTATAAATGCACAAACATATAAAATGGATCTTAAATTGCACCATAACTTTAGTATACTACAGGTTTTAGTTATTTGTAAATCCGAAGTGACTGCAGATAGGGAAGTTATGACCAAAACCTTATTTAAATTTTTTTTTTAATCTTATGTACTTATGTATCCAACTTCTAAGTACATTCATTGTCCAGATATTTAATTATTAACAATATGCTGGTCTGTGTTATTAACCGGTACCAGAATGTAATATATAAGTAGAAACCTATATAATAGTATAGTTAGTTACTAATTATTTATTTGATGGACTGTAATTGTGCGGTAGATTGATTCATGTAAAAATTCCTAATTTTATCATAAAGAATAAGAGCTTGGCAGTGTGTTAAAAGACTGTTTGAGAGTGCCTTTGCGTCGAGTTAGTTTACTTAACAGGCGAAACTGATTAGTAGGGCTTTCAGCAAGACAAGAGACTTCTCGCAGTTGCACAGTCATCGACAGCTGGAACCCCAGATAATTTAGTCTCCAAAATAAAAAGCTGCGGATGAACTGCAGCTTATGAGATGTTAGCAAATATCCGTAGCTTGCTTGTATATAACTAATACACCAGTAACTTTGCAACCCGAGATCCGATCACACCGGACTCACAACTTCAAGATCCACGAATAGAGTAAGTATCAACTAACTACAAGCTAAAAAAAAGCGTATCTGTCACAAATTTTTGCCGAGCGCAACTACCACAACTCAGTTTAATAATGCAGAATGAAGTGATGTAAGATCCGGTGTAGTCCAATTCCAAAAGGTTTCCCGAGAATGAATTTGTATATGTATAAGTATGTATGTATATTGGTACCGGGCGACTGTTGAAGCAAATTTTTGAACTAGCGATTCTGAATTAGTGAGATCCAAATGTGGCGATATGCAAGCCTAGCCTAGCCTTCGGTGTGATAAACACTTTGCAATTCTGAATTATTGGCAGCTATGTAAGCATGTCAGTTCAGAGTTGTGAATTTTGACATAAAGGCGCCCAAAATTTCAATTTTACACAGGTATGCCATCATTAAATTTTAAATATGTTATCAATCTGACAAAAAGAATCACAAATATTATTAGCCGGTATATACCGAGAGAGTGATAAAAAACTCGATCAAAGGCAGCGATGAAGTTCTCAAAGTTTGTCTTTGATTGACAAAAAATTCTATCAGAAACAAATATTCAGAAATCTATAACTGGATGACGGTCTTCTGATCGTATTTTTTTATTCCTTTCTCAATATAATATTAATATATTTAACTATATTCATTTTTCCATGCAGCCGGATCTACTGACAAGATTGTTGGTTACAGTACTATAAATTTAGGTTAAGTTAATTGTTGTTTACAAAATAAAATAAATTCTTATAAAACGAAGCTAAAAGAGGTAAAATTATTGATTTATGCTTAAACAACGTATATATCTTCTTCAGTTTAGAACAATTAACGGTGTGAAAAGGGGAAGAAAGTCGAGAAAAAAAGTATTCTTCCGATATTGAAAATAATTGAACCTGAAAAAAAATGTTGGGAATATTAAAAGCAAACAAAAATCAATAAACCCGCTATGTTTAGGTGTAAGTTTTAAAGCATTGAAAGACACCTCGTCCGGTCATAGAATGTAACCTAAGATCTAAACTGCTGTCAAATTTACTTTGAAAAACTTATTAACACATAAATAAAAGTTTATAGATTATGATCTTTAAAGAATTAAACTAATTATAAGCAAAATAATAAATCGAAACTGAATACTAACTCAACACTAACATATGATTGTATTTAATGTCAATTGCAGAATTTTGCACCTTATTGATATTTTTATTATTTTTTACCGATACATTTCTGCCAATAATTGTGTTTTTTTTGTCTAAAATTTTAAAAATAAATATAGACAATTATGAAATGATGTTGTTATTGTTCTAGGTAGATACTTGCTGTTTGCTGTTCATTTAATTAAACAGCGCGCTGCAACACTCAACACGATATGTATTTTCTGCCGCGAATGAGGCAAACTCGAAGTTTACCTCTACAGTAGATGCAAAATTGATAACCTTTAATATGCAAGCAATAAGCAATACACTCATAAGCGGTATGAGTTTAAAAATGATAAAATTGAGGCTAGCCTCAGTTCAGAGCTTGCAATAGTGATAGACAATAATATTTGCCCGCGCAATACGTACGATGCAATGCACGGTGCATTCGAAGGAGTATTCAGGATTAGGCCGTTGATTGTTTTGTGAAAAATCTATGTGGGCATAAAATGATCTAAAGTTTTCGGTAAATGAATTTTGTGTTGAACGTGCCAATTTTTGCGCGTGTGGTGTCGATGCTTTGTGGTTGTCATAATCTGATTTCGGTAATCGAGATTTAAGATTAGGTACTTACAAGTAAATTATCACAAATCGAAATTTTTCTTTACTTAACGTTTAATGACAATGGCAGTTCCAGAATCCAGCAAGACGCATGAACTCGGGTCCGAGATAACTCTTTGGAACAGGAATGATGTGGTAGACTTTTTAATAAATAATAGTGTTTTTTCTACTCTCTATGATGATAAATTTTATGTAGTTAAGAAATTAAAACGGCCGGTTCGAGATTTGAGTAAATCGTCAATAAATGTACGCGTAGGAGGAAACTCAAATCGGGCATTTAATAATATGTACTTGGTACGAAAAGTACGACTGGCGTACCGGAAGTATACAGTTGAATAGATTATTTTTTCTACTCATTAAGGTTGAAGTTTGTCATTTTCCCATCGCTGGCAGTGGATGAAATTTCATTTCACCCTCTAGTGGAAAAATACTCGGCCGTCTACGATTTTAACGGGTCGTCCAGCCTGAGCGTTTCGCAGCTAGCGAAACGTGTCGCGTATCGCCTGCACCGACCGCACCGTCCGCTTCGCGCGCTTCGAAAATCATGACGCCTAGGCTGGACGACCCGTTAGTGTTTGACGTTTAATACTGCTAGTTTACACAAGTGAAAACAATGAACATGAGTGAGACTGACGAAGTTTCTGAAGAAATTTTGAATGCTGCCAATGCGGCATTTTCGAATCTGATACCCGAAAAGTCTAAAAAGTTTTATGAGCTAACATACCGAAAATTTATGAAGTGGAGAGAGAGAAAACAATGCCGTTCATTTAATGAAGACGTTTTTGGTGCATATTTTGGGGAGTTAGCTAAAGACAAGAAACCGTCCACACTGTGGGCACAATATTCGATGTTAAGGGCGATGCTTGTAAATAAAAACAACATAGATATTTCGAAATATTTAAACCTACGAGCATTTCTGAAAAGAAAATCCTAATTTCTTAGAAAAAATAGTATATGCAACTCGCGGATGAAGAAATTTCAACGGCTCGAGTTTCTTTTTCGCACTCGCTCGTTGCACTCGCTCGTGTGAAAAAATCACTCTCGCCGTTGAAATTCAACTTCATCCACTAGTTCCATAATGTACTATTATTGGCCATGTATGTTATTTGCAAATAACAGTGAAAAAGTGTGGTGGAAAAATAGATCGAAAAATTTGTCACGTGGTTTAGCACTACACAACAAAAGTACGGAACATATTTCTTCAAATTGTAAATTGGCTCTTATGAGGAACAAAAAATAAAATATTGTTACGGTTTTAGATAATGCACGCAAAATAGAAATTGAAAATTATAATCTTAAAGTTCGGGAAAACCGGTAAATTTTAAAAAGTTTAAATTACACTTACCATAAATACATACTAATAATTAATTCGAATTAACTTGATACAAAATTTTTGTTGACCATTTGTTTTGGGCACAATATTATTAAGTTTTTTTTTATGAATCAATGTAACAAATTATGATTGCCCCTTTACCCTCCTCCCAAAAATAAACTTAAAAGTTCTCTTCCAAAGAAATTCAAAAATTAGTAGAACAATTATATGAAATATCTACTTAGTTTATGAAGTTTCAAAATTTTTGAAATGCAAGTAACAAAAAGTTTTGTGAAAATAAAATACATGTTTAAATGTATTATTTATTGACTCTAGCGGTCTATTCTTTTTTTTAAATATGTATGTGCAAATAAAAATTGTAGCTGTATATTATTACACACTGAATCCTAAAAAGTCTGTTTTAAAATTCTGTGTTGCACATGTTGTGCTATTTCAGTTTTGTTACCTTTTTTTTGTAAAATTGTTCTTGGCCTTTTCATGCAGATATTTACACATCCAGATTATCACTTGATATACACAAATTGTCTATATTATACCATGCTATTAAAAATGAAGGATTTGCTTTTTTTTTTTTTAATCAGTACCATCACTAACTTGTTGTGAATTAAATACCTGATTTTTGTAATTAACCAAAAGAGAAACTGTTCGAAGATCTATTGTACACAGTAGATACACAGTCGCATTATTTACCTAAGTAGTTTCATGAATAAAAAATACTTACATATTTCTTTTGGCTGCTTTTTTCCTAATTTTGACTTAGACTGAATTTTAAGTTTTGATGATTTTTCAGCACCTTTTGATTCACTTGAGGAATCTACACACATGCAGTCCTCTTTTTCTGTACTCTCTACCAAATTATTTTCTTCGTTTTTTTTTACTTCACCTTCCATAAGTTTATTTGCCGTTGGTACCATTTCTGTGTTTATCTGATTTAAAAAACCAGTATCTTTCATTGAAAGACCTGCTATATTTTCACTTAACTTCGCACATGCACATAAAAAGTCCTTATCAAAACCTTCACTAGTCTGAAGCTTTGAAAGTTCGATAGTTTGCTGCAAGCTTTTAATTAAATTTGATGCTGCGGCTATAAAAACAGCTAAATTTTCTAATAAATCTACCCAGCACTCATTATTTCGATTGCTTTCATCATTATTAACAGTGGTTTGATTAGGTAAATTGTAAAATTGTGACATCGTGACATTTGCTACTAAAATTTTGACACTTTACTCTATTTCTAATCATTTGACAACAATTATCTGAACGTGACAAAATTAAACAAACTCGATAAAATTCAGATTTTTCGAGGGAATTCATTTCCTAGAAATATCTAATACATAAAATTCTCGTGTCACAGTGTTTGTAACCAAACTCCTCCGAAACGGCTTGACCGATTTTTATGAATTTTTTTGTGTATATTCGGTAGGTCTGAGAATAGGTCGTAAATTATTTTTTGTACCCCACCCAAAATAGTATATTATTATACTAGTTTAATAAGACGTCTTATTGTGGCACGCATGGGTTTGGGGCACGACGAGCGTAGCGAGGAGTGCTCCAAAGGAATAAGTGCCACAATGCGTCTTATTAAACGAGTATAATATACTATTTTTTCTACTTTGCATCTGATCGGAAACAAAAAATTAATAAAAATTCAAGGTTATAATTTAGGGCCTTTTAATTCGAAAGGTTAGTTGTAGCGTTGTGGCTAACTTCACAATGTCAAAGTTTGACATCTAACCACCGAACACTAACAATCTAACCTAAGTTTGCTTCAAAAAATGGAAGAAGGGGGCCCCACTTCTTGCACGCCACCTGAAATACAGTTTAACAATTGATCCCATTATTAAACTGGTTTCGGTTTAATAATGAGGCCATTGTTAACGCAAAGTAGAAAAAATTTTTTGTATATTTTTCCGACAAAATTTGTAATCTTATTTTTATTTTTTATTTTTTATTTTTTTTTTATTTTATTCTATTACGTCCCCCAACAGGCACCGAGGCCCAATTACAGGGGAACGGGACATACACGTTACACCCAGAGCCATGGTGGGAATCGAACCCACGACCCAAGGTGTAGCGGGCAAGCATGATGCTAACTAGCCCACCCCGGGTCCTCTTTTTTAAGATTTTTTAAGATTTGGCATCAAAAAATACATATAATCCTACATTTTTTACCCTTCTACCACCATTTTTTAATAACGATATTTTAGTATCTTTACTTTCATCCACAGACGCGCAATAGGGTTGCAAGATGGCTGTTGAATATGTACATATAATCATTGTCGTATGATAAATTTGTATGTATAATTTATAATTTAATTATGACTTACTTATTTATTTTAATGTAATTTTTTATTTAACTGCCAAAATATTCACTAGAAATAATTTATATGGCAAAACGAGAGAATTTACATATTTTCAGACTACACAGGAAAATACAATAAATTTATAAAATCAAATTCTATCAATCAATTGAATAGAATATAGAATAAACATGGTCCTCTTCGCCCAACCTGGGACGTCACCTTCAAAACAAAAACGGCCAAAAAACTGTTTTTTTTCACTAGCAGCCATGACGCATGCAAATGTCGACTCATTCAGAGGTAGCAAATTCAACTTTTGCGACCACCGGTTCAAAAAGAAAAATTGAGGTTATGTACGCAATGTTTGATGTGATTATTTCTTAAAAAATGAACAAATGTGTGCTACAAACATTATTTGAGTATACGCATGGTAGTTGGTAGACGGTAGAAGATAAAATGATTAACTCAGCGACAAGTATAAACGGTTTTCTTTGTGTTGAAGATTTAGATTAAGTTTGATTAGAAATCAAAACAAAATCATGTTGCATCAAAAAATTGAACGTTTATTTTTTCAGTTTATTGTCTTATGGTTTCTACTAGTGAAAAAAATAGTATATTAACCACAGTTGCAAAGCCACTTCTAGACCTCGCGCTTCAGAGCCATCGACGCTGCGCGTCTCGGGTTCTAATTTGCGCTCGGTCTAGAATGCTTGGCTCTGCAACCTTGGCTAATAATATACTATTTATCGCTGGTGCAGCATAGAAAAAAAACTGACGGAAAAAAAAACGACCGTCACGCGCTGATAGCGGACGACGACCATAGCTGGTGACGACGAACGGTCGGGCGCGACTCTCTGCTCGAGCACCAAAAACATGCGACGAAACTAGGGGGGGCGGGGTACGCTCCGGGGTTTCGCCGACATCGCTTGAGGGCGGCGTACCTCAGTGCCAAACCCTGGGCCGAATAGTGCTGCTGAAAAGAAACACTTCTAGGCTACGTGGTCTATGGTTACCTTCATGTCACCAGAGGTGGCGACTTCGATCGGGAGCGGCGATGCTCGGGCGCCAACTCCCTCTTCGGGGAGGGAGCACCGGGGTAGCTCTACAGCCGGAGACACGAATCTCCAGGTGGTCTCGTGAGCGCCCGCGAAAACAAGAAATAATACGGCGGAAAATTTCTAACAATAAATCGGCTTTTTACAATAATTGGGCCAGCTACACAGCTAAGATACTCTTATGGTTAAATTAAAATAAAATTTTACAAGATCAAGAACTAACAAATTGTCCGGCACGGTCATTTCGGGCGGCTTCTTTCTCGTCCTAGGGGCATTCGATTGTTGTCAAATTTTGTATTTATACTGATTTCCATAAAAATCCGAACATCTTGAATTAGTTGACTGATAAAACTGAAAGTTTCACCAAATGTGCATTAAATCGAACCAAATAAATGATTAAGATAACACGCCTAAAACTTGTGAAATAAAAATGTATACATCGTTTTTCTTCGAACGTTTTTCCACCTACTGTTTACAAGGTGGATCAGTGACTTCGTATCGAGGGTGGTTCATGGGGGTTTTTTCCATTCGATTTTTAATTTGTTTTTTCTATATTTCGAGAGTACTAGGGTAGGGGATGCCATGATTAAAATTATTGCATATATTTCGCAGTCCCCTGTATATACAGTGCATCTTTTTTAAAAGTGGCCATTGGGATTCCCATGTTAAATTTTAGACCCCATGTTAACTTTTGTTAGGGTGATGATTTTTGCGGAGAAAATAACCTTAGGGTTCTACTTTAATTTTCACTACCACTTTTTGCAGTAATTTGCTAATTTGCGCTTTAAAAAATAAAAATTATTTTGATTAAAAAAGTTTGGTACATCATAGACGGTTTTGACTAAGCATTTTAACTTGTCATTTTTGACAGCTTAATTTTGATTTAATCATACCTTAATTGCAGTTTTTAGAAAAGAAACAGAATGATGGAATTCAAACATAAATGGAGATAATAAAAGATAATTTCACTGAAATTGCGTTTTTAATGTCCAAGATCGAAAAAACCTGTGTTTATAAATCTGCCACAAAATTTTCCAAATGTGCTCTTGCCGGGTATGGAACGATGTGGGAATCTACACTGTAGTAGACAAAGACCTGGCGGAACGTATGTTGCGCCAAGCCCGGCGAGATCCTCCTTCGCCATACCCAGCAATGCGAATTTAGTTTTTAAAACGCTTAATATTTAACAAAATTACAAAACAATAACGGCTTCGATGTTCTTCAATGTTCTTCAATGCATACTATTTTTTTTTATAATAATTGTTGATTTAATACATTTTCCTGTGTATGAGTAATAAACGAAAAATATTACATTAAATTATCTAAACTTTTATTGTTCGTACATAACTTAGCTACAACATAAATGCGCTTTTTCTGTATTTTTAGCATCTAAGTGTTTTCAGATATTTCAGAAATGAATTTAAAGTTTTAAATCATTTTAATTTTAATTAAATGATTATTCAATTAATTTATTTGACAATTCGCCATATACATTAAAAAAAAAATTAAATGTAAATGAAGATAGTCAACAGTTGGTACTTTTATTATTACTTCTTTTATATTTTTTAACTGCATGCCATTATTTAATTATTATTGTTTAATTGTGGATGTCCAGGGTCGGCAAGCCGTATAGCCGCCGGTCCACGCGGAACCCAGTAAAAATAATTTTTTCGGTGGTTCTCAAGTAATGATAAAGCAGAACAAGTAGAATTAAAGATTAATAGTATTTGGAATTAAACTGACATTGTCAATTTCCTATAAAAAAATTATTTTAACAAGTCGAGGTCAAAACATTTGAGATGTTTTGTACATCCTGGCACGTAAAATGTCAGTGGTTAACGAGTTTGGCCATACATTACGAAAATATATAACACCAAGGTGTAGACTCAAAATATTTTGCCTACCAGAAATTTTGACCCGCCACTGGTTTTTTGGTATAACCAGAAGAGACCTGCGGAAGCTTGCTTATGATGTTGCTGAGAGAAACGGAATAGCACATAGTTTCTCTAATAAGGAACAACTAGAAGGATGGGATTGGGTCAAAGATTTCAGTCGCATCATCCGACAATTTCACTAAGAATACCAGAAGCAGCGAGGGCACGCGGATTTAATAAGGTCGTAGTTAGTAAACATTTTGAAAATTTGTCACTGGTAATGGATAAGTACAAATTTGAACCGTCAGGAATTTGGAATGTGGATGAATCTGGACTATCCACTGTTCCGTCAAAGAACTCGAAAATATTTGCAACAAAAGGGAGAAAGCAAGTAAGTGTTCTAACTGGTGCAGAACGTGGCCAACATGTGACTGGTTTGCGCCAGAATGTTATTGGAAGCTATGTACCTCCAGCTCTAATTTTTCCACGAAAAAGGCTAAAAAATGAGTTAATGGACAATTCTCCTCCAGTTTCTGTGGCATTTGCCCAAGAAAAGGGTTGGATGACGGGACCAATTTTTTTGCAGTGGTTTGATCATTTTGTAAAGTATATGTTAAGCCATCACCAGAAGATAAAATTCTTTTAATATATTAGATGGTCATGGCAGTCACAAAAGCCTTGAAGTATTAGAATTTACTAAAAACACGGAATTATTTTATTCTGCCAACCACCTCACACAACCCATCGCCTTCAACCACTGGATGCGACATTTTACAGTTCGCTTACAAATTACTACAACACTGAACTGGAAAAATGGTTAAAGAATCATCCTGGCAGGGTTGTTACACATTTTCAAGTGGCTACTATTTTGAAAAAAGCATATGCTCAAGCCGCAACAATATCTACTACAGAGAATGGTTTTTATCAAACAGGAATAATTCCTTTAAATCCCGACATAATTAAAACGGTGGTATAGATATCAGTAGAGACAACTCGCTATTTTTACTGACCCGTTTTCATGGGTGGTCGTTTGTCTTGTAACCGTATGAGGGCGCGCAACGCAAGGTAATCTTCTTTCTTACACATTGGGACATTGAACTGCGGTACTTTGGTTGTCTAGTGACTTTAATGTGAAATATTTGAAATTTGACAGTTTAGTTGCATTGGTTTTGATGATTTAAGCTTAGATCATATAATAAATAGATACCACCATGCCGTGTTCTTTCCCTAGGACAGCCTGTGACGACATCCTCCTGTCACACATCTCTCTCGTGCATGGAGGGATTACAATGAAGCTATCCTTGCCTGATCACTATTTGAATTTTGCGCGCCTAAATTTTAGGAAGTATGTCTGAACTAACTTCGGAAGAAAGATGTTGACAGCTTGATTTTATAAATAATTCACAGTAGATAACGAAAGCAATAGTAAATTATTGGGCAGCAATTGTGATCCTTTATGACTACATCACTTAAAACAGGATCTTTGTTCTAAATTCTAAAATTGTTCTTTGTACAACAACTCGAAAGAGAGGTTAGAAGAAACATCTGTCAAAAACGATTTGTTGCGCTGGTGCGGTACAAGGATGGAAGTGAAATAGACATATACAGATGAAATGCATGTAACAAAGATGAAGATGTGGTGATCACACAAGGATAGCATTATACTACTCCCCTTGACGTAGAAAACGACAACAGATAGCTTCATGTCTAGTCACACCTTTCAGTTTGAGTATTGGTATCTATTTATTATATGATCTAAGGATTTAAGGCTGATCTTCCGGTGTAATTATTACAGTTAAGTGTAATTTTCACAGAGACATTTTAAAAAACGTTGTTCACGTTTTCATAGGACCATTGTTTACTGTTTAATTTTTTTTTGTAAAAAAATTAAATGTACATATATTAGCGTTTTCTAATAACGTTGAATTTTACAACCATTTGCAGCCATCATGAAAAAGAAATTAATGAAATGTAAAATCGTAATCAGAGAAGTGGGCCACATCTAAATTTCAACACGGCATCTCTGTTATAGGGCGCTCAATTAATTATTTATTATAATAGACTGTGTGGTTTCTAAGATCAACTAGTTACAAAATGTTATTGTTATTACACTATTTTTAAGTCTTTTCCAAAAATTCATTTGCACAAAGTGTAGTAAATTGTGTACACGAATCAATTTTAAAGTGAAGCGGTTGTGATCCTTTTTAAATTGGGTGGCGAGATCCAGAAATATTTTGGGCAAGGATCACCGATGACGTCTTAAAATTCGGGTCAGAAAGATCAAAGGCGCCGACACGAGTTGTCTCTACTGATTGATCTCTATACTGTGGCGCAACCAAGGCGCCACTAATATAGTGCGAACACTAAATATTTTTTTCTAACATAAAGAGGCATTTACACATTTGAAGATAAGGAACGGGATCGAGGGGTATTGTAGAACAGTTTGGTTCCAACAGTCGAATAGTGCATTTTGTAAAATTTTACCCATTCGTGCACTTTTGTGGCAACCGTCGCTAACATAATCTAACTTTTTAGTACAGAGTACCCCCTCACCACCGTAGGGGAGGGGTAATGTCGGGTTTTTAGTGGACCAAGGCGCTTCGCGCCTTGCAGCCCCATTACAAATATACTTCTAATGTTCTTGCTACGTGGATCTTGTGCGAGTGAAAATGCGTGTTTATTTGGTTGCCTGTATTTGGCGCAGCTAATGGGTTGCGATGGTGCGAACCAAAGTGCGAAACTAAATATTTTTTTTTTGTGGCACAAGGAATGATTTCCGCAACATTGAAAGTGAGGAAGAGGAATGTGACCAGGGGGTGTTGTAGAAGAGTTTTGTGCGAAATTGCATAATGCGTTTCGTACAATATCACCAAATGAAACACTTTTTTACAGTTATTAACATAAAAAATCTTGTCAATTTTTCTTCATACAATAATGATACTAATAATAATAAGTGATAAAAACTTGAAAAAACTTTGTTGACAACGAAAGACTTGACAACATAGTCTAACCTCACTTTTCTGTTGACATAACCTCACATGACATTGGGCCCTTTTCATTTCAAAATTACCGTAAAAATATAAACAAAAGCCATGTGTTGTAACGCTCCATCATTTTTCATAATTCTTTACGTCACAGCAGTGTATTTTTTCGGAATTTATCTTAATTTTATCTCATTTCAAGATTACTTCGAATGCTATGCTTGTAAAGAACTGAATTTCAGACAGCAGGACTATGATTATATTGTAGGTTCGTATAAATCATCTCATTAAGCAAAGTCAGCTAAAGTAAATTAGTTGGTAGCGGCTCTGCAGGAAGTATTGTGGCTCGGAGGTTGGCCGAAAACAAGAATCTAAAAGTACTCCTTGTTGAAGCTGGAAGCAGCGGAGGCGGTATCTTGCAAATTCCAGCCGTTGGCGTGATGCTACAAAAATCTTCTTTTGATTGGGGATATCGTACTGTGCCTCAAAAGCAGGCGTGTTTGGGCCTTGATGACCAAGTAAGTTTTTTTGTTAAGGTAAACGATAGTAAATAAGTGGACATAGGTGAGCATTTGGCCGATGGGAAAAATTTTGGGAGGTACCGCTATGTTGAACAATATGATTTATGTAAGGGGACACCCTGATGATTTTGCTAGATGGTTCCGAGATACCTGTAATTATGACTACTCCATTGACATACTTCCATATTTTGAAAAGTTAGAAAACAATGGAACTAATAAGCACAAGGGTTCAGTGCCTATAAGTGATCTTCCATATAAATCTAATGTTTCAGATTATTTCCTACAAGCTGGAATTTGTCTAGGATTTGGTATTTCCGATGGAGTCAATGCAGAACCTGGTAAGTATAATACAAAAATCACCAATTATAAAAATGGAAAAAAATGTATTTGAATTGTAGGTTTTTCAAGTCCGAAGATTACAATCCAAAAGGGTCAACGTTGGACACCATACCATCAATTAGCTAAAAACAGAAAACGTAATTTGGCCATTGTTACAAATGCATTTGTGGAAAAAGTTCTTTTAAGAGACAATTTCGAAGCATATGGAGTAAAATATACCCACATGGAAGAACCAATATTTGCCAAAGCTAAAAAAGGAGTAATTCTTTCTGCTGGAGTAATTGGAACACCGAAAATTCTGATGTTATCTGGAATTGGACCTAAACAACATTTGGAAAAAATGAAAATTAAACCTAAACTCGATTTACCTGTGGGTGACAACTTACAAGATCACGTAACGACTGGTCTTGATTTGCTTACTTTCGACTATTCCCCAAATATAGGAATTCGTCAGATGTTGTCACCATGGTCCATGCTGAATTACTTTCTCAGATCCAGAGGACCTTGGACCACAGTAGGCTGTGAATCTATCGGTTTTTTTAATACTGCAAAGGAAATTGTACCTGAGTTGCAGTTTATGATTTTTCCCCTAGGTGTTACTATTGATGATGGTTATTATTTGAGTAGTCTGACAGGCATAGGTGAAAGACTCTGGAAGAAATACTTTGCCAAAATAGACAAACCCTCCTTCACAATTCTTCCCATTGTGCTGCACCCTAAAAGTCGAGGAACCGTTCGTTTGAAAAATAACAACCCCCGCACACCTCCACTAATTAATCCTAATTATTTATCAGATAGTTATGACATAGATATTCTCATACAGGGTATTGAAATGATTAAGGAGTTTATCAACACTCCACCTATGCATCGTTTAGGAGTAAAACTCAACCCTATTAAATTTCCAGGCTGTGAAAAGTTTGAATTTGATACGAGACCTTATTGGGAGTGTTATGTTAGACATTTTACGTTGACTGCGTATCATCCTATAGGTACTTGTAAGATGGGAGAAGTGGTAGAAACAGACTTTAAAGTAAAGGGGACTAGAAAACTTTATGTTGTTGATGGATCAATTTTACCAGATTTGCCAAGTGGAAATCCAAATGGTGCCATAATGATGATGGCTGAAAGGGCCGCCGAGATTATTAAACATCATTGTTGGAAAACTCAGCGAAAGTGTTGTGCTGCGGAAGTGTTTCAAAAAGAGTGCCAATGTTAAATAGTTTTCTTTTTTTTTTTTTAGAAAAATGTACTTTTTTTGTTAAATCTATATACTTATACCTACTGAGTGCTCTGGAGTTTTTGTTGACGAGCAGAATTTTCTCACTGCAGATGTTGATATGGTATTAATTTATGATAAAAAGTTAGTTTAATTGGTAGGTACCCAAGTATGGGAAATTAACAACTTACATGATGTAGGGTTCTCCGTCCTCGCAGCCATTCAAACGGCCATGAAATTTAATAAAACACCTTTAATGGTTTCAAATTTATAATATGCCTATGTGTGTTTCCTACCATAGCTAGCGGGTGTGTCAGTAACAATTTCACCAAATTTAACTACAAAATAGGCTACTACTATAGCCAACTTTCCTAGTATACAAAACTCACTTGACATACACCTTGTAAAACTTTTATGACTTAAGCCGTTTAAGCCAAAGCACCCTTATAAGTCAAACTGGCTATTGTATAACTTAACTCAGTTCACATATACCTAGTAAAACTTTACAGCTCCATTATGGCAACAATGGACGGTAATAAGGTAATAATCCTTGCCGTTCGTGTCCATTGTAAGGGTGATTTGGCTTAAACCGCTTAAGTCATAAAAGTTTTACAGGGTGTATGTGAAATGACTTTTGCATAAATTCGAAGTAAAACCATTTCAACGACGACTAAAGTAAGGTACGATTAAACAAAAACATACTCAAATTGTTACTGGACGAGCAAGATGAAAAATGAGAAGAATTAAAAACAGTTAAAAATCCAGTTTCAACTAGATTTTTGTTGATCACGTTATTATTATAACCCAAGGAACTATGAGAATAGCGAACATTTTTGAAAATTAATTTGCGGAAAATTTTTTATTAATAAATTTCATAATGTAGACTGGGAATTTGAAATGAAATCCATGTTGTACAAATTATGTTTATATTTAACTTTTAAAGGGACTCGTTAGACGACAGACAAGTTTGAATAAGGCGCGCCATTTGTTGCCCTAAATGTCACCACTTATTCTTCCTAAAATCTACCTGCCGCGCTGTAGGGATTTAAGACATATAGACAATTACGGGACATGCATCATAAAAACATCGTAAGCTGATACTGAAAAATATTGATAATTTATGACAGACTGCCGACAACAGACTTTCAGTAGAGAATAATCATTTCTCTTACGGTGTGGGTTGTTTATTTCAAAACAATTTCCTTATTTGGTTGCTAATCCAGATAGGATTTTACCTCTAAAATCCTCCTATCCTCATTTGTTCCGAAGAAGCAGTAAAAAAAATATATTACTCCTATTATATAATGAATGTGAGTCACTAAGCGCGCGGTCCTCGCCGATATCTCATGAATTATTATATTAGAGATTGAAAAAAAAATTAAAGACCAAAGTTGTATCGTTCTTTGAGGACTATGTTCTAAAATTATTTTGAACTATACAGGAAGTTCTGTTTTAAAGCGTAACGCCCAAATTAGTTTTTTTTTTATGAAATACCCATATAGGTAATGTAACAGGAGGGAGGCTCCTTCATTTAACCAATGTTAACTAAACGTCGGCAAAAGAGCTTCATCCAAGAGTCGTTTATGAGTTATGACTAGGGAGCGGATTTTATGAAATTTGCATATCCGATATTTTTTGTATATAAGTCTTGATATTTTATATATGAACGAATCATGCTAATGAAAAATGAATACAGCTATAAAAAAATTGCATTTTTTTCAATTTTTGTGCTAATTTGAAAAAAAAAAGATTTGTCATTTTATCTGCATTTACTAGAAAGACGAAATTTCATGAATCATATTGCAAATATTGTCCTGAGCTTCAAATATCTAGGAAAGGTGTGGGTTTTATGGTAGTTTGGAGGTAAATTCGGGCCCTAATTATTTTTGTTTGTTGTATTAATGTTATGTTTTATGGTGGTCGAAGGGACGTTATCCTATTATTTTTCATCGTGAGTTTGCATTCAAAGCATTTAAAGCGATACAGGTGTGTCAGTATGTAGATAACTCAAATTAATTTTTGGATTAAACCTTTTCCTGGACTTATTCTTCAAGAAGGAACTGTGTTTTGTCGCGCCTGCTCTAAACCGGTAAGTATCTTTACATCTGTGGACGCAGTATGCAGTTTTTCTATTTACAAATACATACTTTAGAATCACCGGAAAAAACTTTTTGTTAGAATATTTCGAAAAATATTTAAAAATAATTGTTACCAAAATAGTAATTAAATCGTCGATTACTACTATTTTTTAATTCGTTCTGTTTACCTATATTTATTTTTTAGTATAAGAATATTATCTTAAAAAATGTGATTTATGTGACAGTGAGATCTAATTAAACACTTTGCAGTGTGATTAATGTATTTTTTGTAATAAAAGGTAAACACGGGAAACCTGTTTTTGCAATCTATATTAATAAAAATGAATCGCCGAAATGTATGTACGCTCATAACTTCAGAACGGCTGCACCGAATTGGACGATTCTTTTTTTTAGGTGTTCCTTATCGTCAGGACAAGGTTTATATGTAAGAAAATTTATAAAAAATAAGACGGCTAAATGATAAAAAAAAATAAAAAATTTTTCATGGGAATCGCCACTTCGAATGAATTTGAATTGTTGGCGTTCTCGACGGACCTGTCGCCTGACTGACGTGTCATACAAAACTATTTCTTCCGTGCGATTGTGAAATAGCATATTGCATTTCAAGTCGTTTTTTGTTTTTTCGTAAAAAAAAAACATCGTTTATTTTAAGAAAAGTCTTAGTTAAAGTGAATTTAGTTACACATTGCGAAAGTGTCTTATTAATTTTGATCTGCCATTCTATTTACCTATGTTCACTTTGTTGGTTTCGACAAAACTTCAAACTTTACCGTTATTCGAGGATTTAATTTGAAGTTTTCAATATTTTAAAATTCTCAAGACAAAATTTACAGATTTGATTGACTGTGAAAATAATTCTGTGTCGTTTTATGAAGTTCATTACAATGCCGAGAAGACGACAAGCTGACATAAGTCTACGAAGTCAATCAAATGTGCGACGAACTACCTAAGATGCAAATCGCGATGATTTATTTCAAGGGTAATTCGGATACGGAAGTTGATCAGCGTTGTGCTCATAATCAACATCATAATCAAACATTGAAGCGAGACATTGGACGGTATGAATAAAACTGAGTAGATACTCATATTCGAAGTACGAAGTACCTACTTCATTATTACTCTTATATACCTGAGTATCTACCCGATGTACTGTGTATCTACTTGCAAATATTGTATCTCCCCGGACACAAATTGAACATTTACGCGTTTTGTGAGCATTTAATCTAAAAATGAGCATCGGCGTGGCAAATGACTATTTGTCCTTATAAATGATAAATTAAATGTAATATATATTTTTTTCCTTAACAATATAGAGTTAACAAAGTTAGTTGAGTTACAAAAGTCTCTTTTGCTCCACGTTGGCCACCAACGAGCGATTTTTGTGAAACTTTGCTGGTTTTGAATTTGAATTTTCTGTCCTCGATAGTTGATGCTCAGCAAGAACCACGGGAAGGTCTGGAGCAGATCTCGCTGGGAAAGGAGAGGGCTAGAAATTGTTAATGAGGGATAGAACGTTATACAGTACAATACAACGGAAATACAATACAGGTACCTACAATCTAGCTACAATACAGAATACACTACAGATACAGATACAATTCAGATACAATACAAATGCAAAGTTAGTAGCCAATACACCACCGGAAGAAATTGCACCAAAAATTGAGAATGTTGCAAAATGAAAACCCAAGCAAGCACACCGATGGAACTCGGGACGAAATCTATTGGTCGCAGCGCTCACACGCCCAAGGGAGAACGCAGCCGCATAAATCCAAGGTCGTCTTACCTCATTCTCAAAGAACGATGCAACCCAGCGTCTAAGGGCCAAAAGAACCCCCCCAGGCCAAAGCGTCTGACGACATGGAGAATTCAAACCCGGAACCAAAGAATGCACTGTTGCAAAATTAATACCCAAGCAAGCACACCGATGGAACTCGAAACGAAATCTATAGGTCGCAGCGCTCACACGCCCAAGGAAGAACGCAGCCGCATAGATACAGGGCCGACTGACCGAACCTCATCCGTTTAGGATGATGACCCAGCGTCTAAGGGCCAACAGAGCCCCCCCCAGGCCAGAGTGTCTGACGACATGGAGAATTCAGTCTCGGAACCAAAGAATGCACTGTTGCAAAATTAAAACCCAAGCAAATGCACCGTGAAAACAAAGCATTTGCACCACTGGAGCTAAATTGGCAAGACCCAAGTTAAGTTAGTAACACATACAATATACAGTACAAAATGCTTCAATTACAAAAGTTACAATATACAAATTTCTCCACGTTTGCCAACAAAGAGCGATGACTCTGCTCGCTCGTTGCTGTTGCCCAGCAAGAACCAAACAATACGAGGAGGTCTGGAGTGCGTCTTGCCATTAAAAGAGAGGACTAGGGTTTGATAGCATGGGTGAAGGACACCGTATTTTGTAAATTTGGACGCCGTAGTTTAAAAATGATGCATACGGTACTTTGTGAATTATGAACGCTGCACTTTGTATATTCCAAAGCCGTACTTTATCAGTCCTGAATGCATGTTATTAACAACATATTTCAAAAAAAATCGGGCATTTTTGGAAAAATATCCACTTTCCTTCGTGTTCACAGCACGTAACACAAAACATTTTCGCTAATATTTATTAACAATAAATTAGAAATTCGCGAACACGTGCTACTTTTAAGCCAAAACGGAGCTCCAGTGTTGCTGCTACCAGACCGGAATCAAAACTAAACACAGAGGATGGAAAAATTGACCTTTTATCAGGTAGCTCACGTGACAGTGACGTCATCGTACGTCACGATGAGATTTCAAAAATTATTTTTCATATTTTAGATCAGAAATTGTACATTTTCGGGGTTAATTTAACAATGTTTAAACAAACTAATTTGTTTTTGCTAACCTCGTGTTCTTAGGAAGATGGATTTCGGTCTAATTATCATATATTGATAGTTATCATATTTGAACATTATGAATTCT